CAGTCTGGTTTCGTTCCAGATGCATTAGTGATTGCACCCTGCAGTTCTGTTGCTAGGATTCTACTTCTGTCGTCAAGTACTCCAATATTGGACAATGACTAGATAAAGCTAACATTCTCCCCTTTTTGGACATTTAGTCGTTTGTGTTCTTTTGTTACGCGGCCTGTTTTTGACCAGAGTAAGCAAAAAGCATTCCCCAGCAACTCCCCGAGAGGACCGACAAGGGTTGCAAGAATTCGGACAAAGCCCTGAATAGTCGGGCACCTCCTCNNNCTCCTCAGCTTCGCTGGGCCACCGTTTCCGAAAAGCAGAGCAAGTGCAAGGTTCGCTGCGCCCAGGCCCTGGCCCGCACACGGCAAGTGATCTCCAAAGTTCGGAAACTGGCTAGAACCAAAATTCTAACAATTCCGTACCTAGAAGCGGGCTGTGGGAAACGCATTTGAATCTTGTCTGTCTCCTCAACTGTATCGTTCTCAACCGCATCTGCCTCAGACTTCGACTGCATCGCCGGTTCAATGCCTTTCTGATCCTTGCACTGAGCATCGACGTTGCGGTAGCAGCGGTTCCGGTGGAGTAGAGTGTTTCTCACGTACATGGTCAGCTTGGTAGCACAGGTGCCCATTTTGAAAGCGCATGCCCCCCTGCCCTGGTCTCATATTAACCTCGCGGAACGCTGTCTCGGCGTTTTAGGACGGGCCGCCCGGCATGGTGCTGATGCATCCTTGGCTCGGCATCGTGTTCTTCCGATGTGTGTCTGCGCAAACAGAGATCAAGGTGCAGTGGGGCCGAAAAAAAAATGTCGCGAAGCTTTGGCCAATTTTGCCAGGGTTCGAAGAAACCTGGATAATCTTGTGCAGGTCGCTGGATCCTCCACGGTTTTTCCGGTTGCAAATGCATGGGCAAATGGCGTCCAGAACGCCAGCAACTTTGCGATCAGCATCGAAGGCGGCACAGATGCAATTGAGACCGTAACCTCAACTAACGAGTTCTTTTTTGGGAAGTATCTTGGCGTTTGGCGTTTGAAGCTGGGAGGTGGCGGCTCCAGCTCTGGTGCGCGGCGTGTGTGCAAGGATCGTGCGGATCCTTCCCACGCATCTTGGCTGAAGCAAGGCTCGGAGAGAAGTGTGCGAGGCGGCGGAGAAGGTGGAAAGGATGACCGAACGCCTAAGGTAAACTTCCGGCAGGTGGAACAAGGAACATGCAGATTTCTAGGTTACACTCGGCCCCCTTTACGAGCCTGTTGTTTCTACAGGATCCCTGTTCCTTCTGTGCGTAAAGCAATCTCATGTGACGGTCCAGAAGCAGGAAAAGCTTCTTCCTTGTGTGGCCGATGCCATTCATGTGTAGCGACACTGTTCCGTGATCAGGTTGACATCGGCGACATGTCCCGCAATTGGAAAAATAGCGAGGCGCTCTTGCTGGACGATGGCTACACGTGGACCGGGCAAGAACTGAGCATATTTTGAAAACATCCCCATCCTAGGCTTTTTCACGCACCTGCATGCGTTTGCCAAATGTCCATGAATGCAAGCAGGACGGGTCAAGTGCTTGGTATTGGTTTCAGAACTCTCCTCTTGGGGTTCGCAGCATTTCGAAGATTCGCGTGACGCAGCTCCAAGTCGGGACCGACGGCTTAGCCGTGGCCGTTGCGAAGACCCTTGGCGTGCTGAGGAAGTACGACAGACAGGTTTGATTTTGGGACTTATTGGACGTTTCGGAATACACATTTTGCTTCAGATTCTTCGTGGCTTGGCTCTCCACGGAGGTTTCTCTTCCTTGCGGTTGGAAGGGCCCTTATTTTTCCAGTACTGCTTAGACGGCGTGCAGAAAACCCAGGGGCGGCCGGGCACACGACTGCCTGACGTCGGCGGAGGTGGGCGGTCTGACGTTGGCCATGCTCCACTGGATGTTCACCGACTGGCGGCTCGGCCGCAGCGAGTGCGCCAAAGGCGCAATTGGGCCCCCCGCGCCCCGCCACCTTTCGCCACCCCCGCCACGTTTCGGCACATCCCTGACCGCGGGCCTCGCAGGAGCAACGAGCAGCTGGAGAGCTACGGCGTGGATTTGGCCTCCGTGATCCCAACGACGACGCGGACGGCATCAAGGACAGGGCCGGGGCGAGGGAACTTATGGCGCTTTTTGGCGGACCCGACGACGGGGTGTGCAGGAGTGGAGCGACCTGTCTTGGGCGTGCCCGGAGGCACGCTGCGTTTCTTGCGGGTCTGAGCTGCAGTTTCGCGGTGCGGCGGCGCTTGTGGCGAGGTGCCCATCAACATCTACGGTCCAGGCTCCGACTCCGGGACCTACGACTTCTTCGCAGAGGCCACGCTCTGCAAGGACTGCTTCGGGGGGAGCCTCGGCCGCAGGAGCCGCAGGAGCCGCAGGAGCCGGGGCCTTCACTCTTCCTCTCAGTCTCCTTTTTTTCTGGTCCTCTGACATCTCTGCTCCCGTTTCGGAGCCCTAAGGGAGGACGGCTACGACCCCGAAGGCTTCCCGTACTGCCCCTCGGACAAGCACAGCGCCCTGGAGCAGCTCAGCACGGAGCAGGAGATCGCCGACTTCATCCAGAGCCAGAGGCTCCCCTGAACCGTTGCACTCGTTGGACGCACGTTGCCCCAGCGCTGTGGGAGTTGGCCTTCACCCGCCCAGCATTCAACAAGAAGAGGCCTTTGAACTGCTATATGCACTCGGAGTCTGACTATCAGCTCTTACAGTGGCTGTCGGCAGCTTCTTGGCCAAATGTTCAGGGTCTTCTTGAGCCGTTCCTTACACGAAGCAAGGACTTGGCGGGTGCCCTTGCTCTCTTAGGATGCTGCCCGCTTCGTCTGGTTTGAGTATGCTAGCTGACTGAATCATAAAGAGAGCACGATTTCCGAGAGCTCTCTCCTGAATGAAGAGGAGTCTGCAAAGCTGAATGGAAGCACCTTGAATCCTTGAATGTGATAACGAGAACATCCGATCTCCAGAAACCCAAGCAATGCACCGGGCTGAAGGATGAAGGTGTGAAAGGCCCCGGCCATCATGTTCGTGGAACAACGGGCAAGGCAAAGTTTGCTGTAGTGCCGGTAGTTTTCCTCTTTAAAAGGGCAGTCAACCTTGCCTAGAGTCTGCAGGCCTGCGCCTCCCAGGTGCCTCACTGCTTAAAGGAGAATCAGATGCTCAAGAGAATTTGAAGCTGCAACGGTGGGAGATCGGGTGGTGAGAAGACCAGGTAATGTTCCAGTCTCAATCAGTGTTACCTCATGAGATCCCCTTCTGAGGATGCCGGTGGCATCGTCTATTTCGGCTATAGTTACTTTGCGCAATATGCCAATCTGCTGACGGTGGCGCGAATTGCTAATGACAAGTACAAAGGCGTCAAGGACCCGGCTGGAGGGTTTTCAGCAAGAGTACCTTAAAAACATGCCGTGCTGACGCGACTGTTTGAGAGTTTAGTCTCTGTTCTCACGGTCGCTTTGTCACTTTAGCAGGATACGGCCGATGCGAGGGTCGAGCCATCGACCTACACCATCACTGACGGATCTTACGATGTTTACACGCGGAGCTTGTTCATGAATGTCGACAACGAGGCCGGCAGTGTAGCGGCATGGCTTGTAGGTGCAGCTTTCGGGGAGAGGGCGGTGGTAGTGACGATTTCAAGGCCTGGGACAGGGTCCACCCTTTCCTCAGCTTCGGCTTCAGTTCTGCCGGCCAATCTCTGGTGGCTTCCGTGGGCTACAAGGCGGTGAACGCCGCCGTACTGTCCAAGATGAAGATTCGGCACCTCGTCAAGTAAAGCCAAAGATGTAGGCCAATGTAGGTGTCCGAAAGGGGTTTTGGGACGTCGGCTGATAGGTAGAGGCCAAGACTCAAGGATCGAGGAGCGTGGCAACGAAGAGGCGGACTACGTGTCCATAGCTCCCTCGAGCTGTCCTGTGGGAGCTGAGCTGAGTGCGGTCCCCTATGTCAATTCGCACCTTGGCAGAAACATGTGGGCATGACATGTTGAGACAGCTTGTGCTCTTTCTGAGCCCTAAGGTTCGGGAACCAGAAGGTGAACTACACCTGCAGCCTCTGCCCTCTCGGGAGCTTCAAGTTTCTAAGCACCCCCACTCGCTGCACGAGCTGCGAGCCGGGCCGATACACGGACCAGGCGCCTTGTCGACGCCAAAAAGGAATCAGCACAAACCAGTAGAGCCTGCGTGCTTTTGGGGCTTTGCGCAAACGCGGCCTCCAACCCCATAGGCTGATCTCAAGATATTCAAGATCAGCACGTGCACATAAGTAGATGCTGGAGTCATTGCCTACTTCTCGACGCGGCATATCCAACATCCCTGTTCCCCCAAGTTATGGGCCCTTGCTCTCTGTTCTCACCCGTGGCGGTTCAGGTGGGGCAGAGTACCTGCAGCCTTTGCGACCCTGGCTATGAAGCCTTGAACGGCACCAGCTGCCGTGCCTGTGGGGTCGGGCTACCTGACACGGTCGTTTGGGCCGGGTTTCCTTCTCTGAGGCTCATGCCCCATCTTGCAACTCTCACCCCTTGTGTCCGGAGAACCGTGTAGAGGGGAGTGCAATGCGAAGTGAACTGCGGAAATCCATTTCACACGGTGTTGAGATCGCACTGTACCATGTCGCACGCGTTGGTGGGCACCGCTGGTCATCCCGCCAAATCCTTACACCCTCAGAGCCCCGAGCCTCAACGAGCCTTAGCGAGCCTTTGAGGTTCTACAAGAGGGAGGCGGCCGCGGCCTCCTGCTCGCCTTGCGGAGCTGGCACCTTCAACAACCAGACAGCGCAGGCCCGAAAGGGGGTGGGTCCGATGGGTACGGGAACATTTTAAGGGGATTCCTGAGGCGGAGTGCGCCTTCTGCGGTCCCGGCTACTTTGCGCCCGAGGGCTCCACAGAGTGCCTCGGCACTGAAGGGCCGAAGAAGGGCAAGAGACCGAGGGGCCAAAAAAGCCCAGGTGCTCTGCTTGCCCCTTGAACGAAGTCGCTCCAGCCCCCGGCTCCGCGAGCTGCAGCCGCTCGCTGCAGTCAGAGCGCTCTGTGCCACTACTTCGATTTCGATGTCGCTCTCCCGGTTGAGAGGGCCTCTTGAAACCAGAAGCCTACCCCTGTCGAAAGGGTATGTATCTGTGTATGTGTACCTTGACGGCCATTTTGTTAGCTGACGCGGCGTCGAGTTTCTACACAGTTTTCTCGAGGTTGGCAGTCTGCTATGCTTGCTACATATGTGGTGAAGCTTGGCGTTTGTCGCAAGCCTGAAGAACAGCGTTGCAGTAGACCTGAAGGCCCTGACCTTTCGAACTGTACAGGTGGAGCTAATTGCTAATTGAACCCACCCAAATCCCAGATCGCTGCGGGGACGGCTTCACCACGACGCAGGTGGGGATTTCGGCTCAGTGTAGTGCGGTTGTAGACCTACAGCTTCGGCACCCATTTGGTTTTGTATGTCCTTTTACCCTTCATGATTGACTTGAGATGTTTTGGAGAGGGCAATCGACATCGTTCGTCCTTTTTTGAAGCCCCGGGAGCCTAGCGCCGGAATGGGTCCCAACGAAAACGGTGCCTTGAGTCCAAAGCCAAGCTTCGAAGTCCCAGCTCTGAGGTGGGATCCACGGCGTGCAGTCGCTGCCGAGCTGGGACCTTCCGCTCCAACGAAACGCAGTGCCCCGTTCTGTCAGGTTCAGGGCATATAGGGTCGAGCTTTGTGTTCTGAGAGTTGAACGATTTTGGAATGTGCATGAGAAGCGGGGGCCATGTTGGCAGGGGAGTAGGGTCTGCAGGGTGTTTCTGTCTGGACGGCGGAAGGCAGCCTCGAGGTGTTTTCGGCTGGCAAGTGTCTTGATCCACGGCAGTGCGGCATGCCTCGGGTAGGTGCGTTCCCTGCGCTGGTGACAAGACCACGGCATTCCAGGCTTGCGCAGGATTCTCTGTACGTGGTTGCATCGCCAAGACCGATGCAAGAGTGCTGCCTGTGCCAGTCGAGTCCAGCAAGCCTGTTGCGGTGGCAGGGTGCCGTGCTCAAGAGCGACTGCATCTGCCCAGCCGGGAAGTACTTGCGAGACGGGCTAACAGGCCCGGCATGGTCCAAAACCCATCCCTGTGTCATGCGTCTGACAGCACTCTATACTCTGAAGGAGGTAGCCGCATATCCGATGCCAGGAAACAGTATGGAAGCAATGTCCAGTGGCACCTGCGTTGAATGTGGCTTGGCCTGGAATCGGCCGTTCATCCCGAAGTGACTGCAGTGCGAGAGAGGTTCCGATGGCATGGACTGCCCTCTGGGCAGCGATCTCCGCATCTGGGCGAGTCACTTGGAGGCATCGCGTGCAGACTGCGGGTTGTTTCGGCGGGCGTGCGCTGCAGGCCGTGCCCTTTCTTCCGAGCTGAGGCTTCCTCGCCGGTGCGGAGATGGACCCGGAGGAGCGCCGAAAACACCAAACGGTCCGGAGCGTTGTTGGGGAGCTGCTGAGGACCAGCTGTTCCCTCTGCTCCAACCGGGGTACTACTCCACTCCGGAGGAGCCGATGCAGGCCCGGACCCGGCCATGCTGAAAACGGGCCTGGACTGCATCTCCGTGCTTCCGAGGCCTACAAGTGTGGTGCTCCTTCGCACTGCCCGGGCTGCTCGGCTTTGGGCTTCTCTCTGAAACTGAAACCCGCAGCCTTTTCTTGGAGAGGGGGCAGAGCCTATGGGTGGAGGATCTCCTGAGCCTCCGAGGTGGGCGGCCGGGCACCTGCGCCGAGGGACGGGTTGGGATCCCTTGCGGCCTCTGCGAGGCGTGTTGGAATGCCTGTGAGTGTGAGTGGTGAGTTGCAGTGTGACAAGTACAGGGCATCAGCACTGGCAGCTTGAAATCTGCGTTGCTGTATGATGTTGTATGTCCAGTTTTCAGCTGTCACTGGCCCGATCTATGGATCTATGGCCGACCGATTTGGCGGGCTGCGGCTTGTTACATCATGTAGAATATGCATGAAACTCAACGAATTGGCCCCGGGCGCAAATCTGGTGCCCCTCCGAAACCCGGGTTCGTGCTGGGTGATCAGAACGGATCTCTTCTCCCTTCGGCGTCACTGGCGGTAGCTTGAAATCGTGTGCAGAGCATCCATGTCATTGTGTTGGGTCGAAGGCCCTGTCTGCCGTATGACCTTCAGAGTCGGCACGGAAAGTCTCGGCAGTTTGCACAGCAAGGGGGGCCTTGTCGGCACGGCCCGGAGGCCACATAAAAGCGTGCCGCCTTTGACCAGGCCGGCAGCAAGTTCGAGGATGGCCAATGCATTCCTTGCGGCGGCTCTGCCGCTCCGGCTCAGAGATTTTGGAGAGCTGACTGAGGCAGCCTTCCTTCCCTCAAGCTCTCAAGCTGCTCGCACCTTGAAAGGACGGCCTACTGTTTGCCGCGGGTGCGGTTGTCATTCCCTTTGCAATCCCGACGTTCTACTATGTCATGAACTCCCCGATGACATCCAAGGCAGGCTGTATTTTTAGGTGGGCAAGGAAGGCAATTTTTGGGCCCTGCGATCCTTTGAGCTTTGACACGCCACATGCCAGGCCTCGACGATGCTAAGCACGACGATGGCCTTTGGCATGACGCTGTCGCTTGGCAACTTACAAGCCCTCCAAAATCCCGAGCCCTTAATGACCTGAAACTCTAAGCCTCCCAGCTCCGCGAAACCTTAAACTGGAGTTCGTGAGCTCAGGGGCTCTCCGACGTACCTTTCTCGTGTCGATGTTGCTTTCAGGACCCTGCTGCAGACAGTCGGTCTCGTCGGCCTGGTCTCCCTGCAGCTCGGGCCTGTATTTTTCATAATGCGTAGAGAAGTTGGAGCATTTTTGTCAGAAAGGCCTGTGAGGTTCGCCATTGTATGAGGTTTGCTGTGAGACGCCTGCCCCAGCCCCCTTGTGCACCCCCTCCGCCAGGGCCTGCTGCGAGGTGCTGGAAGTTGTAGGGTTTTCAGTGAGTTTCTTGTGAGGTTTCCGGCATCCGGATGCTCCCCCCTGTTTCTCACAACGTACTTCAGGCCTTCCTGGATGTTCTGCGCAGCATTAATTACCTTCTTACTGTTTTCGCAAGCTTACTCAGGTTTCGTGGTTTTCGCACAGACCTTCTGTCAAGGTTCCTCACAGCAACCTGCCAAGTTTACTCGCAAGCATCCTTAGAAGAAACTCACACAACAAACATTCGCAGAAGCACATAAGCTCACAACTGCAGGGTTCACGAAATTTCGCAGCTCGTGAGGTGTTGGCAGTGCCGTGTTGTGATCCAATATCATTTGTAACTTTGTATATTTAAGCCTAAGCTGTTAGCCGACTATTGTACTAATTAGCAATAAGCTGTTCGTTTCGTGCGCACCGTACATGGCTCCTGTAGACTTGTGTCGGTTGTATTAGTGGGAATATTATGATCAAGCCGTAGACCAAACAAGACCTGTACACCCAAACCCTTAGCGCAGGAATCCAAGCAAATCCGAACGACAGTCAATAACAGCCATTCGAAGTCACGATCTCGGCATGACGAATACGATAGGGCTTCGCTAAGTAGTACAATGCAAAATGATGTCTACTTCTGCTGACCCTAAACCTCGCGACATTTCGGAAAGCTCCGGCTCCGCAGACTGACAGGAAACCCGAGGAGGATGTGAGGTCCCGTTGTTCCCGAATTCCCACGACCGCGGAATCGGGACACACGAGCCGATGCAACAGAAGTAGAGAATCCTTTGCTGAAGGCTCCAGGCAAAAAGCGTGCACAAGGGGCCTCTAAGACCCCACAACTCCTGAATGTCCGAAACACGAAACACCAAAGTTGCTAAACTGTTTTCCATGAACTTGATCGATAACCAAGAGCTCTAACAGCCCCTGAATGTGAGAAGAAATGAGCAACGAAGGAGTTGGCCCTCCTACATGCAGCCTTTCCTGGACTTCGTGTCGATCTTCATGCTGGATCCCCCCAGTGAGAGGGAGTTTGAGTGTGTCACAAACCTGCGTCGCCTTAGGATTTTAAGGGGTTTCGGGGTTTTCTGGTGTTTTGGGGCGGTTTCGGGCCGGTCGCAAAGCTGTGCAGTCGTGGGGTCCGGCCACGGCAGGGGCAGCTTCGCATCGGAGACTTGTTCGTCTCAACGGCTCCTTGTATTTCGGTTTCCTCTTCGGGATGTTCTCCAAGGGCCGGCTTTCAATCTTCTCTGGTGGGTTTACTGGGTTCCTAGGAAGGTCTAAGGCCTAGCTCTTGTCATATCTTCTTGGGTATAGGCGTATAGGTGCTTGCTTGCTTTGTGGTATTGGGAGGATCTTGAGAGCCTGAACGTCGACTGTGTGGGCACTGCCTCCGCGACGCGATACCTGATCAGCAGCTTCCTTGCAGAGAGAGGTGTCCGGTTCAAGTGCTTTCAGTTTTTAGAGTTCGTGTCACCACAACCGCAACATGGCAAAGCACTTGAGTGCACTGGATGCGTGCTGCATCTTCGCCGATGCCTCCCTTCAGGTGTCATGGTTTGGCCGGCAGTAATGATTTGGCTCGTGGTCTGCGGCCTTCTGTCAAAGCTCCTTCGGCGGCAGTGCACGTGGGGCCTACTGAGTGTTCTGGTCTTTGGCCTTTTGGCGCAGCCATTGCGTTTGGGGTCATGAGTGTCATGGATGGCCGTCCCAAGAAGTTGCGGTGCGAGTTCCCTGCCCTTGCTCGCCGAGGCTGGGGCCACGGAAGATGCGCTTCGTGAGAGCCAAGGCCCTGAGCACTTTGGGCCAACTCTTCCAGCAGCTCGCATGACATGGTGCCGAAGGGCGCCCGAGACAACTGACGAAGTTCTGTGCAGCCGAGGATTGGCTTCACGATTATCGCGAAGACTTCGTTGATGCCGTGCCTGGGACCTCGCCAGATGACTCTGTCGTGTTTGGCTCACGCATGTCTGAGTCTCTCTCACCGGGGTTTGCAATTTGACTGAGGTTCATGTGCTACTCTCATCCGAACGGGCTACTCGGCGCGTCTTCGGCACCTTCGGATCTGAGTAAGGTGCCGTCTTCCTAGAGTGACCAAGGTGCCTTTTTCTCTGTCTTGATTATGAAAGTTGTACATGTGCCTGTCAACAACAGAATCAGAGCCACATGTGTATATATGTGAGTCTGTATATGTTGATACACATAACACTCAGTTACATACACAGTGGCAATAGGGAAGTTGCCTCATTTCTTGCCTATAAGTGCAGGAAGAGCAGCGTTCTTCGATTCAGCGACGTGATCTGCTGGGAGGAGGGTCGTGGCGAATAAAGCCCTAAGGGACAGAGGTAGGTTGCTGCGGTGCAGTTTTCGGAGCATGGTGTGCCAGGCGGGTCGGTGCTAAAGTGTCAGCGTGAGAGGAGCAATCGGGTCATGCGACCATGGTCATCTTTGGCATCTTCATGACCACGCTGCTTACCTGACTTCATGTCGTGAAGGGCCGTGAAGGGGTTCGCTTGTGGATATTCCCGTTTGCGGGCTGCTTGCTGAGGATGATGATCCTCTACTGGAGCATTTTGGTGTGGGTCACCGTCGAAGCACCGAAGAGGTGAGCGCTCTGTGAGTCAGTCGCAGGGAACTGCGACTTATTCGGGGCCTAATAGACAGGGACAGCGCTATAGCAGAACAGCCAGTAGCCATGCGACAAGCTTCGCCGAACCCCGCCCCGTATCCCGAACGTTCGTCAAACGGCCCCCCTTCTTACGTACTAGTAATACTGGTACTAGTTACTAGTACTAATAGAAGTCGTGCTCGTACTAGGTACTACTGCTGCTGCTGCTGCTGCTGCTACTACTACTACTACTACTACTAATACTAGTGCAGTAGTTAAAACTACTAATTAGATTGGTTGTTGATGGTTGTTGGACCCGACAGCCCTGTCCTGTCAGCCTGCCCTGATGATCTCCCTGGACAGGTCCTCCAATGGCGACCAGTTCTTCCTGATGGCCACGCGCTTCCTGTTCTTCCGCTTCAGGACCGGCGATTTCCGGGGTGAGTGGCAGCTGAAAAACGAGGAGTATAGTGCGTACGGCTTCAGGGTTTAGACTTCAGGTTTTGGGGCTTGATCGTAAGTGGCGCGACCCCACTAACATACTGAGAACATCACAGGGCCCTTTCCTGTGCAGCTTCACAGATTCCAGCCGACGCCCCTGTCTAAGTGCATCCTCTGATCGTTGCTAGGTTAGAGTCCGAGGCAGGCAGCTGACTTGCCACCCTTGCGTTTCACACATCAGCTCGGTCCCACAGTCTGCACTGAGACCATGAACGTCGAAGTATGCGCTGGTAGCACGGATGTTATCTGCGGGTATGCAGGCTTGGATGTTCGCTCTCAAAGTAGAGAAGATAAACAAAGCATCAAACATATCAATACCCTAAATGCAGTTTTTTTTCACATTTGTTCAGGCTCGATCCGCAAGTAGCTCTCAGGACAGACTACTGGTGGTACGGAACCTGGTTCATTCTGCGAGGTTCCGACGCCGCACAGTGAGTGGATCATTGAAGGGTTATCAGATGAGTTTAGCAGTAAATTGACCTTCTCTCGCCGGTAGGACGAACACAAAGATCCCAAAAGTTATGGTTTATGCTCTATCCCCGAAGGGTAGTGGGCTTCCCCCCAACGAGTGAGCCTCCAAATTGCAAGCCTCGTCGCTGCCTCCACACCACACAGCAGTCCAACAAGGGGTCTGCAGAGTCTTGTGTTTCTCTGTTCAGAATCCAATGAGCAGCCTCGCGACGGAGCAAAAGCAGCATCAAGTTCTCTTCTAGGTCCGCTCCTGTCGCTGCCGGTGGTCATCTTCACAGATTTGCCTCAGGCGACCGGAGGGGGTATCCAGTGGTCAGAAGCTCTTGCAGACTCTTGCACTATTTGTAGTAGGGCTTCAAAGAGGATTCGGGGCTCTTTCGGAGCTGCTCTGTTTCTCCAGGACGCATGGGGAAGGTTCTTTTGATACCCCTCGCTTTGGAGGCAAAGCCCTCCTGGCCGTGGCGGGGTGTTGTTTTCAGCTTTCCAGCAGGGATGTCAAGCCGAGCGAGATGGACTTGTGGGCTTTCAGGTGCAGCTCTTCGTGATGACGGCTGTGCTGGCCGCTTGGTCCATAAGACGGGGAGGGTCGACACCAGTGCCAGGTGAAGGGCCCGTAGTGGCATGGGGCCCTGAGAGCACGTGTTCACATCCAGGCCCAGCCTAGATACCCTACCGGCAGAAGCCTTCTATCGGAGTAGAAGGTGAAGTCGGATGCATTGCAACAAGTTGACAAGTAGCTAACTTCAAAGTTTATACTTTCGCTCATCGCTTTCTCTTCGTGGCTCCTGGCGGAGGTCACGTACATGGTCATGCAGCTCACGACATGGCCCTGGAAGACACCGCTGATCAACTTGGCTGACGGGGCCATGAGCATGATGCCCACGGCTCAGCGTGCTCGTGCTCGGGCTTACCTCAAAAAGCGGGGCTTCTCTAAGGTTCATCCTGCTGCTCGCCGTCGGGGCATCCTTCCTGGAAGCTTCGCTAGTGAAGCTTATGCCTTTTTTCTTCCTGCGTGCGTTTGTGTGTTCAAGCAAGGACAGCTTGGAGGGGGAGGCGAGGGCGGCCGCTTCCAGTCTCGCCGTGGCAGCCGCTTGAGATCAGCATTTCAGAGTGTTTCAGCATTCGGCTCCATCTGGTTCAGGGCTCAGGCAGGAGAGGTCTTTACAAAGGGGAGAGGGTCCACAGGTCCTGGGCATCCTCT